GCATATAATGAAGAGTATGTATTGATTCTATCGTGCAGATCATGTACAGTAGCAATATAGATGTCCGATATTTGACCATTTGACTCTAATCTAATCAAGATACTGCCATACTCTTGGATACAGGCTTATCTTTGAATTGTCGGAAATCTTTGTCCCTCAATGAGCAAAAAATTTTATAAAAATTTGACTTCTCTCGTCATAAATATAAAGCACGATTCCTACCGTGTGCATCGTAGTGCTTTCACGAGAAATCAAACGTTATTATATAATGACCACGAGTTGCAGTGCTGCCTCTGGGAGCCTTATGCTTCAAAAGGAGTGCTTTCTTGATAGTGAGTAAAGGCTACAACGAAAGGTGAAAGCTTTTAAATATACTTAGTTGTAAGCGATGATGAATACTACGTTGATTCTTCTACTAGAGCTCATACTGCTCGAATACTCTCACGGGCAGCCTGCATCTTTCTTGCTACCGATCCCGATGCGCGATATACCGACGTAGACACATTAGGAACTGGCCTCCGTCTTTGCAGCGAGGATTGAACTGGCTCGTTGATCATCACAGAATATGGTAGCCTTCAACTCTTCGATCTCTCGGGAGCACCAGTCCACATCCGCAAATTTGGAACAGCGCAGCTCGCTCTTTGCGACTGAAGAATGATAGATGGCCCACACTTTTTTGGAGACGGGAATAGTTTTATGAATAAGCGATTTTCATGGCTCTACCGATACTAATGCCTTCGCTTACACTATTTGAACTGGTAATCTCGTGGTTACGGTGAATTTGAGGCCAATTGCAAGCCCTCTAAACAATGACATTTTCAGTCATGTAAGACAGTCAGGATGGGTTTCAAATAGCGTGTTTCAGTTTGTGTCAATTAATACCGTGCGTCTTCAAAAACTGTATTTAATACGTGATGAAAATTGACGATTAAGTCCACAGATTTTTGGAAGGTTTTCGATGATCTCTTGATTTAGTAGCTATGATAGGTTGAACATGATCGTGGCCTCTATATCAAAACTACCCTATATTTTATTCTATCTTGAGAGTGAGGGTGTTTTAGCCGTGTGTACATGGGTTCATGGTATGGAAACCAGCCACTGCCTTCGAATTATATGTATGCTGTATAGTGACAGTGGGGGCTCTTCACTTTGAGTGTCCAGGGCTTGATCGTATGGAATCTAGGCGCCTACTTGTACGCTGCAACGAGACTAGTACCACGAGAACTCCGGGAGAACCTTAGAGAATCAGGTTCAAGAGGCTGGCCACACGTCGTGAACAATATGAAAGATGAAGACAATCGAGGTAGGGGCTGTGTCGGCTGGAAACCATATTACCGTAATCGTGTCCTGATAGTGCTCATGGAATCATGCTCGAATTTCGTTTGCATGGATCCACGTACTGATCTAGCTAACATACAGCGCGCACGTGTGTGTGGGTGTGTAAATCTGACAGTGTATCACTTCCGATTTATCCGAAATGCGCCAGAACTAAAAGTTACATTGCAACGGTCTCTGCCGGACCCAAACGGTCTCTGACACGAAACCAGGTCAAAGTTTGATTTCTTTCAGTTTTCCAGTTTAGATTCTACCGACTCAGAAGCAGTTCTAATATTTACATTCAGAGAGTGTCAGAAACCCTATCATAGAAGTGGTTAAATGTCTAGTCTCAAGTAGACTATACACTTTGAGTGGCCGTGGTGTACATAGTGTATCATATAAACTATTTTATGTAGAATGGTTATGTTTGTAAGAAAAATGTATTTTGATTACAGTACATAATATTTTCTCATTTTGATATTATCTAAATCTATAATACACTTGACATGATTTCGAATTTTTTTTTCTACCGGGCCGGCAATATACTTGATGCTCCGGATGTAAGAACCTGAGGTCCATAGAGATAAGTTATACGGCGTTGAACTGCTCTATCCAGAGTAATCATTTCCCAGCGAGTTAGAGCTTCGTTGGATTATATTCATCTATGGGCCGTCATGCGAGACAAACAGTTGATACTGACATTAATTATGCACTTTATAATATACGGTTTGTTGAGTTAAAGTCATCTTATATTTTCTTTAGCCTTCCAGCTGAAGCAACTCAAAGCAGGCTGAGTGACTTGTCTAAGAAGGAGGGGAGCTGTACGTTGTGAGAAATTCCTTGAATATTTTTCCACTCACTTCCAGCAATTCGCTCGATATGTCTATATGGGTATGTAATTATCTTGAACAAACTAGCTTTCAGTTTTTTTCTTTTTCATCCATCTGAAATGGATTCATATTTTTTACTTAGTAGCAATAAGTCCTTGAGCATTCAACTTCATAGCGTTTGAATGAGTACAGATGACCTGAATCACTTTGCTTACTATAGTTCTAACGATAAGACATTGCTAATAATACATTCTAGTATAAGCATATCACGGCCACAAGGAGCCACACTAAGTGGGAAACAAAGGCCATACATCAGCTTGTTGGTTCTTAGGAAACTCCATACGATGGTCAGCTTGAAATTAGCCAGAATTCTTTTTCTTCCTGGACACTTGAATTTTTATGGTCTTTGACTTCTTAAGACTTGCAACCTTCTAATGAATTTTTTTATTTAGCATATTAGGACGCAACGAAAATAGCTGAGTAGAAAAGGGATGAAGAACCCTAAGGAGTGGGGAACTCAGAATTGGAACTAATCGAAGAGTAATTTTCAATCTTCTCTCATTCGAAATTAATCAGAATAGTATTGTGAAAACTATTTAAGCAGATCAGGGCCACAAGGTGACTGCATTCCTTTTACCATTTACCATTTACCATAAAGTTGAGTGCTTTGTCAGAGAGACGTAGTAGGTAACGTACAAGGTCGTCGCCTTCAACTGCCATGATGATACAACCCAATCATTAGCACTTGCTTCAAAATGATCTCGCTACTTTTGGATAGAAATCTGGAGACATCTTATGTCCATCAGTAAATCCGAAACCTGATTGGTGAATCACAGCACTTGATGGTGAATATCATGTCTCAACTGTTGAGTATCATTGCCCTGGATACTCATTCAACAAGGAAACCTGCTATACCGATCTGATTGCTGACGGTTTTGACTTTTTAAAGAAGAGACAGGCTCAGAGCACTGCGTGTCTCTTACTTCTGTGGCATTGTCAGTTCTTTTCGGCTTTTACCCATTGCAGTATTAGATTACCCTCTCGTCATCCAATGTTGAGATCTACACATCTATGTCCGAATTTCTCTTTATTCTGTTCTCATTCTGGAAGCGCAACAGGTATCCTCCGATATATACTTGCTTCGACCTGGCAAGGAACAAAAGAGCAGAGCACTGAGCTTCGAGAATCACTTTAAGCAGTCTTTGGGTCGTCGAGTAGCCAGGATTCAGGATTTCTTGACGAAAGTTCAAGAAACGATCTTGAACTTTCGTCGGCTCTCTCACGGAATGTTTGGAAGTGAGTTAGTGATTGTACTTCGCTAATTTAGAGCGACGTTTCAGTCAATTATGTACAGTGAACTTGTTGTCATGAACAATCGTATCCACGGAGATGCCGCCATTTTGAAGTAGATGGTTCAAGTGTGCCCTTGCACCACAAGTTTGAAATTTTGAAGAATACTCCCATCCAAGCAGACCTGCTGTTGAAAAGCATCAGGATCGCTTATCTCAGACGTCCTCATTTTGCAGTCTCTTCAAAGATTGTTCGCTGTGTGTGAACCATGTTTTTTTTAATTTGGAGCGCTGTATCAGATTTCAGGAAGCATAGGAGGAAATTTTTTTGAATCGGGAGAATAAAATTATGAATTATTAAACGCAATCAGATTGTAATCATCTGCGAAGTACGTGGTGAAGAGTTATTGCCTGCAAGGATGCCTCTGCATGGGAAAATGCTTGTAATGACAGCCAATTACAACATGATGAGAATACAATAGGTCGTAGTATATGTCGTTAGTGAGGTACACATGAGATATAAGAGATTCAATGGAAACGTATGGCACCTAAGAGACTTCTCCAAGATGTTAATGGTAGCAATAACAGTCCTTTACTACATTACGAGAACCCTACAGGATTCAGAGTATCAAAATAAAAAAGATATGTATGTAGATAAAGAATATCGTATTTTATGTCTATTATACCAAATGTCTTTTTAATATTGCCGTAGTCATTTCACTCCAGGAAATAGTATTCACTGCATCATATTAGACTGATCTAGAGGTAGAGAAAAATATTTAGTACCTGATCGTTCGAAGAACCTTGTCCCTGTGTGTTTGGATGGTTGAAGATGGATCAACTAATTCATGAGATGTTTTCATTCACGAATGAACAGAATCGGTGTCTATCCAGATCATAATGTAGTTTCTACAATATGATTAATGACCATATTGTTCTTTTTGAAGCTTGAGGTCGACATCTCAATTATTGAAGGTTATGAGTGAGAATTTTCTGCTAAAAGTTTCTGACATTTTAGCTCGAAGAGCTCCTGCAGATGATCAGTACGCTAAGATGACCCTCGGTATACCGTAATAGGAGAAAAATTCATTGAACTAGTCTTCATTTGTTAAAAGATATGAAAAAGCCGGATATATTAGAAGACCAAAGGCATGTCGCTTTTGTAAGTAATGTCTCACATAACCATGTGACAGAATATGTTCAGACAGATCAAGCATACTAAGATTCAGGTTGGGAAAACTACGTAGAAATCTTAGATATGAACAACAAACCGCTTATGAAGCTTCTTTCCAATCGGTAGGACTTACATTGTTTTTAAGAACTTCAAGAATCTTCCTGTTGAAGATCAGAGAAACGGTCAAATCGATACACAAAAAATTGAATGAAACTTTGAAAGTCCCCCATCTCGAAGACGTTGGTTTTTTTGCTTGCAGCTCACGTTTATCGGTTGGAGATTATCGTTCCTCGCGTTGACGCGTGACATGCTGAGAAAGAGCGGAATTCGATCGTCGAGATCGAATAAGAGCAAGAGGTGAAGTCAAATGGCCGTCAGACCGCTTCTGGAGCTGATGGACAAAGGGACTTATCATTCTGGCTCATTCCATGATCGTCACGAGGAGGAGGGAGGACTTGCTGGACGGACTTACTTGGAAACTGATACGAGCATCTTCAGAGCTACACGATCGAGTTAACTCATCAAATCCGTTACGACTGTGACAATGTGTCGATTCGATTTCGGATCGTGAAAGCCAGCGGAGCAGGAGTTGTGTCAGTAAACCAAGCTTCTGCAGTCTCAGACTGTTAGAATCTGCGTGTTTATTCATGCATTTCCATGTTTTTGTATGAAAAGAAGAAGATCCAGTGAGGAATCACTTGAAAATATCTCCAGTAAGCTTAGTGTTGCAGGACATTCATCAGCAGAGTTCCCAGCACAGAAGGAATCTCAAGAGGAGATGCAGAGCTCTCGTGAAGATTCCAGTAAGCTTATTGTTGCAGGACATTCATCATCAGAGTTCCTAGCAGAGAAGGAATCTGAAGAGGAGATGCAGAGCTCTTGTGAAGATTCCAGGTCCAGGGACAATTGTGAATCTCCTAGAAGCCAGTGTAACATGGAAGAATATTTCCACTCTCTCCAGGGTTGTGAGGCTGTTCGATTCGAGTTTTGGCCAGGATTATCTTTCCAACCAAGCTTTATCTCCTTCTACCTCAAGAGAGAAGCTCCGTCAGAGTCTGTGAAGTCGAAGATAAGTGTCTGGGATCGTAGTCAGTCTCATTACGTAGATGAGCTTCTTGAACCTCTAGAAAAAGTAGTCCACATTCTAAGTACTGAAGTCTCTAGAGGTGAAACTATCAGGATTGAAGAGATATGTTTCAAGGACTTACAGAAGTCAAGCGATATGGTTAGCGCCCGTAAATCGAAGTCAAGTGATGCAACGCTCTCATGGAGAGCATTCATTCAGGTAAAGCTGAAATGGGGAACACATAGAGCAGTCATAGGTAACCTGATAGATGACGTTGGTGGTGGCCTCTGGCCTGATCACTTGTCATAGAATGTCTCCTGTAAGTTACTTCCGACTTCCAAGGTAAGCAATCTTAAACTTCGGAGGTCCGTTCCAGCTCTGAGCTCTAAATTTCATTCCAGCGTAAAAACCTGAACTGGATTGATCTTACTCTTCAGAAATCATGTCTGCAGTAGTTAGTTACTTTTTTGGTACATTTTCAGGTGCATAATCGCACGTATTTAATATCTGCTGTCTTCATCTATGAAGTAAAATCTCGTAACTGCCTGTCTCAGAATCATTCCGGACTTGAGACAGACAGCAGTTATCAACCTGAACGTATGCAATATGCGTAAAGATTGTTTCCATAACTGAATATCTGATGTCGTCCTTTCTTCATGCTATAGCAAATGTCGACAAGATACGCTAGTCTACGGTGATTGTGGACTCACACTCATATTTTTTTAGATGCTCTTTTCAGATGGACATATGACAGAGTTTCTAATGACCAGTTCAGATTCTGTGAGTGCAGGCAGAAATATATAGTAACATCATTTCTATATTTGTTTTCAAAATTGATGTATGTACCAACATGTTAAAACTGCCTCTTACCTGAGTAGCAACTGAGTGTAAGTAGCCTTTTCCTCATAATGCCATAGATCAGCTTACATGGACAAAATTGATTGCAAGGAAGCTCAATTCCAGAAATTCTGAGGCAAAATTGTAGCATATGCCTCTAATCCAACTGATAGTTTCACTCTCACGTCCAGCACAGACTCGGTAATCATCTTTGTAAGCCCACATCTGATGACATAGACAAGGCTAAAGTCTTAACAAAATTTACGGCGTCTAAATATAAATACACAAGTGATATATACATTTGCTAATATTTCATTGTAGGTACAGTGCTCATCGGCTTTTCCTATCAGGCTGTAAATCTGATAATAACCACCTTAATCTAAATCTATGGCCTCAAGGTCGCAAGTTTAGATTAAAGAAGATAACATAGCAACGATACGACAGCTTCGCTACCAAGACGATGCACTTGACCTCCTTAGACTTGCTCTTCAAACAAAGCCTGCACGAAAAGGCACCGTAGTAGGCCATAATCCAGTGCCAACTATGTCACATATAAACACGTCTCGAGTGTGCAAAAGCTCACCCATTTTTATCCTGCAATTCCTCCACTTGAGAACGATTTCAACTGATGCCGTCCAGGTTTGTGGCAAGGGGTTGCACAAACAAATCTGCTGTCCAGGGCAAGGACCACGAGAGCCCTGCAGATTAGCCGTTTTGATGCCTTCAAAATACAGCTCTCCGGTGACGCAGGCATTGATGAGATAGTTGGTCAGATTGGGCAGGTCCACGTACGAGTCCTCGACATCTATGGAGGCGCATATGCGCGACTCAGAAATGTACAGGACCAACAGCTCCTCGCTCATCATCTCTCCGCTGCTTCGAAGAACACGGATGATCAACTGTCCGGGGACTTGGTATTCAATAGCCGAGACTTGAAGCCCTTCCAGTAGATTCAAATAATCGCGCATGAACTGCATGTGTACAGAAAGATGGCCCGTCTTGAACGGCAAGGGGAATGGCCACAACCCAACAGCCACATCGTTTTTCAAATCGCCAATCTTGTACATTTTTGATCCGGCACTCAGTGTAATTCGAACTAAGGCGCTCCAATAGAATATTTTTTCGTTGATGAACCCGTTTACATTTTTCACCTCCAAGTCTTGGATAAGAATCCCTTCACCCTCGCAGTTGCTTCCTCTGAGAACGACACTCGCATTCGTTGACTCGTCTGGAACAACTTCTTCTAAACGAGGCGTCGTCGCTCTAAAGGAGCCACCAACAACAGTCAGAGCACTGTTGACCCCATTCTTAGTGAGATGGAGAACGAAGCGGGAGGACCACCTGTCGTTTGGTTTGTCTATGTTAGTAACTCGAGAGCCCAAGAACTGCTGGAAGTATTCCTCCATGTCGAGCGCTCGCCAACTCCTCTTTCCTGGCATGCCTGATTGTCCAGAAAAGGTCTCTGACACTGTCTCCTGAGAAGTCGAGTCCCAACTTTTAATCCGAGAATTTCAGACAAGATTTGACATGTCGAGATAGGGTTTTTTTCAACGTCACGGACTGGAAAGCGAAAAGGAGAACACAAAAGCCCGGTCTCGTTCCCATTCAGCTTTCGATGAACTGACGCGAATTGGGCGAGGGACTCTGAGCCTCGAGAGCAGGCGCAGAAGATCCTCTGCAACTGTAACAAGTGAAGGTGCGAAAGGGCATTTGTATCAATGAGAGAAGTGTGATCACACCAGACCAGACTAGAGTAAGTGTGAGCCAAGAGGGCACGATTCTAATTGAGGTCAAAAGATAAACAGACAAACATGCAATTTGTCAGGCAGTGACATCAGGAACCTCGGGATATAGATATAAATGTAAATCTCTAAAAATTACATAGTTAGTGTGAGTTTTAGGAATTTCCTAAATTCTCTCCTTCCAACAATTAGGTCCATGAATACTTCCGACAGGTAAATAGGGCAATAAATTCAGCTAATTCTCAACTAATTCTAGTCCTACAAGCGTATATATCTCCACATTCGAATGCCTTGTAAGTCCATCATTCATGTGTTTGATACCAATTCGAGATTGAAGCAAGCATACGCCTCAACCTGAAGGGTTTTTAATGCTTTCATTTTTATTTCCAGCAACAAAATGGACCGCTCAATTGGCTAAATTAGCCGTCATGGTAGCCGATGGCATCTGAATAGAATGCTCTATGATCAATAAGTTCGAAATTACAGTAACTCCAACAAAGTTTGATGTTTGTTGGAAACCACAAATTTTATTGTTTCCGTTGAATTTGCAAATAACATGGTAAGCCCAGCAGCTACACGTAGCTAAGTACTCTATCATGATTTTAGAAATATGTCTCTACAATGGAAGCAGGATGCGGGTGAAGAAGAACAACATCATGATACAAAGTCGTTGGAAGAGCTTGAACGAAATAGTGAAGAACGATGAGGTGACGGACCAATTTCGGATTAAGTTTTCTAGTACGAGAGAAGAAGCAGGAAAGCTGCATGAGATAGATAAAGAGAAGAAACTTGAATAAAACTGAAGACAAGTTGGTTCTTAGAGCGGACGCCAAATCTCCAGAACTTGTGAATCCGATATAAAATTAGCGAAAATAACTTTACAAAATCTATTTGGTCCGAGAATCTAGTGGTAGTAAACTTGACCCTTGATACATGACGTTCAGTGCTTGCATGCCAATTTCCACTATATTTTTATAAGAGACAAGTTTTTCTAGGCTTATTAGAGCATCTACATCCGGATTGAGACTTTTGACAAGATTTCATCTCGAATTTTTTTCTAGTATCTTTTTGTGCTTCAATTTCAAGTTGAGTGCGACAAAGCGAATCAAAGATTAACATAGATCTTCGGTGGAGTAGTGAAGTTTCACATCAAACTAGGTATTAGTAGGCATACAATTTATGCTTTTATGATTGAAAGATAATTTACTGGAAGTATATAACTTCTCATTGTATGAATGAAATTGAGAAATCAAATTTTTCATTTATGAATCAAGTACAAAATGCATGCAGCATTTTAAAGGAAATAAGAAGAATATTAAATTCAAGTTTTTTTGGTCTGAAGTTTAATTGTAGAGTCCTCAATGTTCCAAACAAAATAAGATTATACTTGTTTAATTATCTAACAAAAAATATGGTTTTGACTATAAGAGTTTATTCTGGAACCTGAATATAAATTTGGATTTTTATGACAAACTAATATTTATTTCTCTAATTCTCAATCTGAGTAAGAAAAAAAGGAAACCATTTTAATATATATAAATATATATATAAGAATGTAAAATTACTAGCTCTAACTTTGAACATCACATGATGAAATTTTATTACGTGCATGGACGTTTATTATATTTTATTACACCTCAAGCTTCAATATGATGATAAATTCTTGCGATGAAATACTTAATCCATTCATATGACATTGAATGCAGTTTTTATTTGTTTTACCTAGGCATTTAGTAAATTAAACGATGATTATGAAAGTTGGAACAATAAAGTTTATTCTCACAAGATACAAACATTTTTTAGATCATAAATGAAAAACTATTCTGGTTGATGTTGTGATTATGATTTGAACTACTTGGTTGATGTTGTCACGATGTCAACATTCTTGTGCAAGATATGATTTGAAAAATTGGACAGAATATAATATGGGAATTGCTAGGCACACACCCCCCCTCCTGTGCATACATCCACTCGTCCACAAAGCACATTTCTGCCTCAAAACACCAAAAGCTAAACATTTCTGCGTCGAAACATGCCAGCGCTTCGTCAAACAAGGGGGAAAAGCTGTTTACGGGTCCAAACATGCCGGCGCTTCGGCAAACAAGGCGGTAACGCTGCAATTTTTGTTTGGAAGGTACCTAATTGGGAACACGTTCGAATGTTCGTGCATACATCCACTCGACTCAAGCTGTACCTTTTCCTGTGAGCAAAGGCAAAGATCTCCGTCTCGGCTTCTTCCAACGACACGTAGACGCAATCCAGCGGCGGTGGCTCCATCTTTAGTGATATGGTGCCTCTGCGAGTGAGACGGCTACTTCTGTTGATCTGAGCGTGCTATTAAGGTCACGGGCGGTCATCCCTCTTTTGGGGGTGTGTGCCTAGCAATTCCCTATAATATTATGATGATAATTGTGATCTTGTTGTCATCGAATGAATGTGGGCCTCTTGTTAGAAAGCCAAGCGGCACTAACGCTCTTTAACATATATGGATTACAAACGAATATATATTGAAGATATTTGTTAACCTTGCAAACATTGAGTTGAATGTGCTATCTTGACGCCACAAAGTTGGAGACTGGAACTTAATTTCATTCTAGATTTTTTCTGTGATTTCAAAGTCAGAAAAATATTTTTTTGATTGCGAATTCTTACTACGAGGACTATCAATGCCTTCATAATTTTCATGATCATATGTGGATCTAGAACATTCCAGAAAATTAAAACCTTTACATTTTACAAAATCTCCATTTCTCTACCAGAACGAACAAGACTGAACAAAAAACTCAATTGAATTATTTTTCAAGGATCGGGAAAATTCATCGGATAAATGTGGGAAATAATTTTTTAACTATTACGTGCAATATCGTTCAAATTAGTACAAGTATCTCGTTCTCATTTGTGTAGCTCTAGGATCCTCTACACAAAGAAGTGAGAACATATATGGAAACATAAAAAAATAATTATGATGTACAACTTGATATTTATGATCAGTTCATGATGAACTTAATTCGGATACTGCATCAACTAATAGGATATGTTGCAAACCCGTTAAGATCTGATGTAATTATTTATTTGAACATTTTTTGTTTGGTTGAGGAAATACTAACCATTCTTCTGATAAGAAGACATGAAGAAAAATGGACACTGTTTATATGTTTTCCTTACTCAATAATGGAATTTGATGCTGGTGAGAGGAAAGTGAAGATTCTGCATCATCTATGTACCTGTTGGAGCTCATACTCCTTATTATCTATGTATGGGTATGAATTTGGGGCTAGTGATTCATGCAACCATTTGTATAGAATAGACTTGATGCTTCTGAGAAGGTTTTTTAAACGGTGCTCTTGAACTTGGCTAGATAAGCGTTTAATAGTTATTCTGTCCATTACTGTAGAACATAAAATCTGGCCCATATTCTTCTGTTTTTAAATATTTAATTGAAGGTTGAGTAATATCGCAATTAAGTATGGAAAGTGAGTGAGAGTCTACTCCTTATGAGAGTACAATATTGACTAAAAACTTTCATGTATTAATTTTTTTCAGTGGCGATCGACTAGTAGTTGATTCTGATGCTTCCAAAGCAAATCTTGGAACAATTCTTCCCGTCCAAATCGTTGAGCAGACAAAATTCTACTGGTTGAATTGCTTTACATGTTTTGGAAGAAATATCTCTCCTCCTAGATCCGAATAGTGGACAAAGAGATTATGCTACTTCCAGGTCATTCGAAATGCATACACTCATAAGATGATTGCGGGAAGTGTGATGGCCAATTGAGACAAACATAAGAGAAACTAAAATGACACCTAGAATGAAACATTGGTACCTTACTGACACACCAAGTTCCAACAATGACCAGAAGCTCAGCACCTAGTCAGTTTGTCACAAGGAGCGTGAAATTTGAGCAGTGCCTCAATTCCTGATACTGCTTGCGAGTACTGTACTCTAGCTCTGCGTACGGTGATACCAAACATTTGACACAATGTCTTCTTGTACATGACTCTGGATGCTCATTTACCACCACAGGAGCATATATCATGTGTTGATCAAATTTTAGAGTGAGCTCAGGAAGCGAAACTGCAAATTTCAACTCTCATAAATGCAATAATTGATTTCATTGCTCTCGGAAAATGCATCTATTATACTTTTTCTCAATGCATCAGCATAACAGCATCGCTCTCAGAAATGATTCAGGTTTGCTTTAAATTAATCAATCACTATATGCTACATGAATTTCATAGTATGCACTGCAGGAAATCCTGGCAAGGTGATAGTTAAACATCCTGAAATACTCTCACGAGCTAACTTGATTTCCACTCAATAACATATGAATCTTCATCATGAGACCTCACCATATATGTCCTTCCGTGAACTCCTCACCTTCTGGCCATAGGCCTTCACAGCGTGAACCTGCTACTGTTATTCTATCCTGGTTCTCCGCAATGACAAAATAGACATCGACAACTGCATTCCATACGTTCCCGGATAGTCGATGGTGTCCCCACAGGTGTCTGACCTCAAGGCCGTCAACGAAAACTCCATGTTCGTGATGTTCTTCAAATGCTGTCAGTAATTTGTGGAGGCAGGTGTTCTTTCCGTCTTTGTAAACCGAAGCGTTATGTTCAAAGGCCAGAAAAGAGATCGACCTTTCAGTCGATAAAGTAGTGAACAACTTAAGTCTCAAATTGCTCACGCTTTCCACATATGCGTCTTCCGTGTAGCACTCTGACACCATAGACCCAGCAAGGCTTTGAAAATATTTCTCCATGATGTTCATGGCAGTCTAGACGAAAATAGGAGACACCAAATTGGAAAGCGTGATCCAAGTGACGGGATGATGCCGTCATTGGAAGTGGCAATCGATCATCGAAACGCACGCTACTTTGATGCCATTTCTGCATCAACCTCCTCTGCATTCAACAATGAAAAGAGGCCCGCACCTTCTGGCCTCTGTCCAACTCCTTACATCTTAAATCTCTCGCCGTCTGGACATAGGCCATATTCATTCAAATCTTAAGGAGTAAACGCTAAATCCAAAGTGTAATTAGACGTCTCCCTTTTATGCCTCATCAATTTCAGTAACGGGAATGAATTTTCAACATAAAAGTTGTATCTAACAGACTTCGAAACCGGTCGAAGAAACGACGGATGTTCGTTGAAGATTCGAACGCAGTAGGATTTGAATTGGTTGCATACAGTTTCAAGTCGTTCAAGAATACTGGAACCCTTTGTTACGGTTTGCCAAATGTCAGGCAGTCTCCGTCTGAATCCAGAACTGGCAGCTGCAACTGTTTTCATTGTGAATTTTACCCCAATTTAGACACTCATGGTAGCCAGAAATCGATTGATTGTATGTGGATCACAGGATCGGTTGAAAGCTCATTCTTCAAGCTTAAAGAAAATATGGTTCAGAATTTCAGAAGTAAATTTATTCCGGCATAGACATGCAAGGACTTGGGATCAGAACTAGTTTACTCTTAGATATGTAGATCTCCATGTATCATTCACATCGAAGAAAGCTTTCTAATACCTACAGCATGCAGTAGCTAATTGAAAGAGATATTTAAGCTTCCCTTTTTTTGTTTGATTTGACTATTCCTGTTTTTTTCCATGAATTCTCTAGATTTATTCGATTCGTACAGAATTGTTTTTAACACTCCACGATCGTTCAGAAATGATGTTTACAGTGAAGTAAAGGTCATAGTGATACAAGTCCGCCTGTAGCAGAAGCTACAGCCATAGTTCGATCACTGCACAAATTGATAGCGCACTTCTCTACGTTTAGACGGAAGATGCTAATTCTCCAACTAGTCCTGCAAATTCTTTTCTGTCAGACCTATAGAGCATTTTAGGAAGTCTTGTCTATTAAAGAAATATAAAGGTCGTTATAAACCTCCAGTCTTCTTGAAGTAGTGAGCAATTGACGAAGATAATTAATAGCTTGATATACTTCGTCTGCAATATGTGATTAAGGGTGAAGAGGAGAGAACTCCGAATCTGAGGATGTTTTTTAAGTACACGACCTGCCTATTCACATAGCGATTTTACGAGGTTTGCAATGGCTGAGGTCGCGGTGAGAATTCATGACACTCTAAGCAATAAGATGCAAGTCTGTGATATATATCAACGGTTTGTAAAGTGATTGGTATACAATATACTGGTGTATTGGTAATACTATAATAAATATATTATAGTATTTGTAGGAAAAGTATGACAAATAAGCTTATTCTACATAATCTAATATTTCCTTCTTATACATGAAAGCCTTTATTTAAGAATAGATTCACTTCTAACCAAGACCATTTTTATACTAATGACACCTATAATCAAGCAAGAAACATGTAATGAGCATGAAAGGCGAAAGTGCAAAGTATAGAAAGTGTGAATGACGGTGGACGAAAAGCGACGTATCTAACTTCCGTGGTCCGGTAAATTCGACTGGGACGAAATCAAAGTCAGAAGGTAGCGACAAAACTTGGATCCGAGACAGTAATTGGGGTTCTCGCTGTAGACGGACATGTTGTGCACTGTCGTCTCTGATCCATCTCTGTGCCAGACGGGTGCTTGCTGTCAGCGACGGTTGAGTTGATGAGCGCACGAGAGATGAGGAGATCATGGGCAACACACAGAATACGGGAATGTGGCACAGTGTGTCAAACATCTCTCCCGTTCTCTGGGTCGAGATACAAAAGTCTTGGATCTTTCAAATGCCGGCAAGTCTTTGCTCGCGTCAATCCCTTATTTTTCAAAGGGAGGCCGAGGAGAAGGACCGAAGCTTTTCGTCATGGGTTTGGGATTCAAACATCGAGTGAGTGGCGGCTTGGGGCCTTCACCTGCCCATAGATTCCAGCAGATCAATGTTGAAAGTCTCGGTCCTTTTGATCTCATACTCAAGTCCATATCGCTTATACAAGACAATGCTGTGCTTTCTGCGTGGATTCAGCTGACGATCGTCCTTCCTGCTGCGATCGCTATGCTTTTGAATCATGGTTTCTTCTATGCAATTATTCACAAGTTCATGCCATATCCGAGACCACCCTCACCTCCGGACGAATTGCCAGAGACGAGACCCGACATCCGCATGTTGATTTTCATCGGTATCGTTCTGGTGGTGTTAGGGTTTGTGCTGACCGTGAATCTCGTGTCAGCGGTGTTTTACGTAGTGAGTGTCGTAGACCAAGGCGAGAGCATCACATTCAAGGATGTGCTGCGAGCTCTGCCGGGTCAGTGGAGGAGGGTGGCTGTCACCGGCTTCTGGGGAGAATTGTTCTTTGCCGGCATGGCCCTGGTTCTCATCTTGTCTCAAATTCTGATCATGATGTTCTTTGACGTATCACGAGTACCTTTGCTCATATTGATCATCGTTACCTTCAGCGTGGTGAGGAGTTTCCTCTTCTTCATCGTCACGACGCTGCAGATGGCGTACGCAGTTACAGTTTTTGAGAAGCTGGATGGCCTCGCAGCTTATATCAGAGGTTGGAAGCTTCTCAAATCCAGATGGTGGATTGCTCTATGGATTTTTGTGCTCTTAGACCTACCGAAGACCATGTTGGGCGACGCTTTGAGTGCAATTGTAAAGTCTCAACAATGCTTGCACATGAAGGTCCTGTTCGCGGTGCTGCTGGTTATCCCGACGTCGATGTTGACGCAATTGTGTTCTACTTGTTACGCCTTCTTCTATACTTCATGCGACTTATGCTCAGATGAAGAAAGCCAGCACACGAATGACCAATTCCAGATCGGATTAGGTTATCGACGTATAGAAGCATCTTAGTGGATCCCCACTCAAATTCGACGACCACCAGAATCAGCAAAATGAAGATATGTCCAGAGTGAGCTCGTCGCTTTTCGATATGTACAAATATTTCTCTTTTGAGACACTGAACGAAATCCTCCAATTTAACTGTTGGGGTTTAAGCAAGGTTTCCGGCGTCCGAGAGCTCTTATCTCACTGTTTGCTGCGCTGTTTGTCGGGCAGAGATCTGACCTCTACTTGCAGGAATGGATGGCACCAACGAAACCTCGATGGAAATCTGTTCATTCCTCACGCAGCTCCGCTCAAACCGAACAGACAACTGGATTTGATTCTGCAGACACGAGAGAAAGTCCAGAAGAAAAAGGAGAGAATCAGTGAATCCAAGATGCTCCTGTCGAAGATACACACGTTGCCACAATCCACTCGAGCCCTGGAGGAAAAATTAGCAGTATCTCATCAGCCACAGATACTCTTCACGGCGATGGCTATGTCCATCCAATAATGCCTTGACAGTTCATTCAGGACATTCCAACTACTGAAGCATAAGCATTTACTCTCGAAGAAGTAATTTTTAACACGCTCGATGACCTCCGGATACAACGCCACTAAAGCTTGGGGTGTTGGTCATGCAATCCAGTGCAGTCATCAATGTCTAGTTGGCGGTAACTGGATCTATCCGTAACTATCTGCGATGGGGGGCCACTCTGTCCAGCAATGGCGGCAGGGATGGTGCCTAAGTTTGGCTTTAGAAATAATCACTACTTTGTCATGGCATACGCATGTGCCTACAAGCAGGAGGACGGCGCCATAGAAGAAAATATATATAGTGACGTCATTTATCTAGTATAGAACAGGCTAATTGCTTGCGCATGCGTATGCAATTAGTTCAACGAGGTTCAATCCCATGGACTAAATTGAAGTATACAGCATCAAGTATACATATTTTTTTATATATGTAACCCTTGGGTACATGTAACCACTGGCGCCTAGCACGGGAAGGGTGGCATTGGAAAACCACTCTTATATCGATGGAGATAAAAGATAGCGACATTCATAAATGTGAGAAATATCTAAAGTAAAAAAAGACATGTCAAGGATAAGCTTTCAGCAATGATTTCATGATTTCTCTCCTTAGAAGGTCGCAACTCGGATGCTTCCACCTTGTGCGGGGCACGCCCAAAGCTTCATGTACTTTCTGCATGACAAACACAATCTTGCGCTTGCCACACTTCTTCACGCTGATCGTTATCCTCATCATTCCGCCATGCGCCTTCAAGTTAAGCCCTTGCTTATTGTCACACCACAGTTGCAATAGAGTCTAACACAAGCATCGCTCATGACCAAGGTGATTTATCCAAATGGCAATGAATTTCCTCGTTCAACTCAGCCATGCTTAGGCTGAGGATCTGGTAGAAGAAGTTTTTAAAAGTACGACATAGACCCTTCAAATATCTAAATTGCTAAGTAATCATTTGAGTGGATTTTACCATATAGATTAGATAGCAAACGTGAACATGAACAAATGAAATTCAATTAAAGCTTCATCAAACATACACGAAGTGTTTTTTTGAAGTAAAAGAGATGAAAAGAAATTCGATGACCTGCAAACTCAATAAATTTGAAAGGTTGAAATTAATTATTAATATCATTCGCATATACTTCAAACTATATGACCAGTAAACCAGAAATTAGAAAACTTACGTTATTACTGGATGCAGGCTATTGTTTCTTCTTTGTCAATGATCCAAACTTTTTCTCTGATTTTTAGATCCGAAGAAAGCAAGTCGAGGATGCAGTCCTTGAGTTCTTAATGACCAGCATTTTGCTTGCATGACTTCAGAAAACTCGCATGTGATAGTATTCCATGCTATGTCTTTCCAAAATGTTCAAATATGAAATATCAACAATGTGGAAGAACATCAAAATAAGTACTCCACAGTGCACAAGAGACTGAATGCCTCACAGTCCAGAGAAGAATCTTACTATTACTAACTCCTTTGGTTAAAACATCATCCTTTTCAGCTTTCTTCCACTTTCAATCATAAAAAGTGGATTGTCTAGATTGACCCTTTTTCACTGTGAGCGACATCTAGAGGTGCACATGAGTTGAAACTCGGACCTAAAAGTGATAAAACCAAAGTACATTCATTCACTTTACTGGTAAAAGTCAAATCACAACAGTTAACCTCGTCCGTATGATGGTGAATGCTCACCTCTTGTAACTGTGACATGGTCGGATGATTGAGAGAGGTTTGGTTCCAAAAGATTCAGCTCGCGATTGACTGTTGTTCCTGGAGTCAAGCTAGAAATGGCATCAAAAGCGACGAACCAATGTTGCACTGGAGAGCCAAAAGCCAGCTGGAGAACGCGGCAGCGAGTGTTGATGAGCACCAAACAAAGTCTATACTATTCCAATCCGCATCGAGTTACAAGCAGTTTTGAGAGCTCGGCTTGTTTGCCTTGGTGATGGATTGCATTGCAGCAGAAGTCTACAGAGCTTTCTCGGCTGGATCAGTTCTAATGTGGTACACGACATGATTCTCGATCGAGAATCTTTAAATAAGTCACTCGGTGGTAATTTTCCGATAGATTTTCATATTTCTCCTGCTGAATGCTTCATGAGATTCGACGTCTAGTCGCTGTCGGATGACCCTTTCTCACGGCTCCTTTTCTTTCCTTTTTAATAAACGTGAGGTGTACCTCGATGATCGTTATAATTACAGCGATGAATGCCTGGTCAACATTTGGGCTGCCGGTGACACCGTAGTTATTCTTTCCCGTCATAGAAGATGTGATCGAGAAGTGCTTCTTGGCAACCTGCAATTTTTATCAGCAATCGTTAGATCACAGTGCAGAAATTCATGCCAACACAAAAGTCTACACCTACGAATCAGATTGTTTTGATCGCAACCACATATACCTCAATGACAATGTTCTATCTGCGAAGGATTCCTCAAACAGATTAGCGGAACCAGATATTTGAAAGGTCTCTCGATGATGAGAGGATCTCAATGTGCGCTATGGGCTTCATGACACCGATATCTTGCAAAATCAATCTCAGACTTATCACATATGCATGAGCAAATTCCACTTACCATTAGCTTCAAATTTGAGGTCGAAATCTCAATTCGTCTTGATCTTCAAAAGAGTACCGATGGGATTCGGCTCAAGATGTGATATATTGGTTGGAAGGAAGGAATATATGCGAAAAGGAGTTCATGCCTCTGCAACGATTGCGGTAAACGGTAGACGATTTGGTAGTTGGGACGAGCGAAATCAGCCTTAACTTGAAAATCGGTCTGCTGGGCTTCGATGAGCGGAACTTCGTTTCCGACTGCCATATCTTTGTCCTTGACTGAGAACATTGCCCTCATAGGTCTCTTCGCGTTACACTTGGTATGTGTCGTACAGGGAAAGACTCTGTTCAGAACTTACAATCAATCATGTTCAGCTCGTGCACTGCAAAATGAACTGATAATTTCTGTTTGTTCTCTAGGACTCAACTGTGAGTGGGAACAAAGTCCACGAGATTCAAGCACTAAGCTAGGAAGTAGGATATGCGAACGATCTTCATGACTGAAATTTTACGGTGTCATACCTTCTTGTCTAAGCTTAACACGGCGCAGTCACCGGCATCGCGCAAGACCGTGGAATTACAGAGGAATTATGTTGTCCACCTTCAAAAGAGTGTTGCCTTCATTTCAGTGATGACGAGGTTACCGTTGTTGAAGTCCAAAAGCTTCTTGACAACAGACGTCTTAGTCTGCATGTGAGAGCAGAAATGGGGGCTGATGACATGTGGGACCGCCATAGACATCGTAAAGAAGGGAGTGCACTAGATTTAAGACGTTTTTATAAAGTCTATGTAACCGCACAATAACACAACAAGAGATGAGCTGAGCAAGATATAGAGAAAAGAACACTAGAATTAGTGATGAAAGAACAACAAACCCCATTTGCTTAATATTGTTTATACAGTAGATTCAATATTAGGAAAGTGGATTTTGCTTTTGTCACCACCGTCTGGTTTTAACAATTTTTGTATTCTATTCTCTCTTCTCATCTAGGTAACGCGTTGTGCTATTCTGCAGGTACCTCCACTTTACAACTGATATCAGAGTGAGCGTTATTTTGGTGTGCAAATGCAACTGCACGTTTGTGAAGGAAGAGGTTAAGGGAGGTTCTGTTGATGTGCAAATCCAATTGCACATTTGTGAAGGAAGAATTGCTGCTCGATGAACATGGAGGATGCCACAACTGGTATCAGAATTGTAAAGTCGAGGTATAGGGCACAGTCATCATGTAGTCTTACTCCTCCTTTGTCTTTGGTGCTTGAGACTTCGACTTTACATGTACTTTAGATGTACTTTTCTTTCGACAAAGTTAAAATAGCTGAATCTTGATTTCGAGAAATGCGCATGCCTAGAATCACACTGCTGTGACTACAACTCAGATTGTCGAAGTCTCAACCACCAAAGAAGAAGTAGGAGCAAGACTATAAGTATAATATCGACATTGATTAAACCAGGCCCACTCTCTTTCCCAGAAAAATCTCAGTGTCATCACAACCATGCAATTCTCAAAGAAGAGAGAGCAGAAAGCTCAGAACCATATCACGTCTTCTTTTCAGATGCGGCTGTCGAAAGAGAAACAAAGAACAATGAAATCAATCTTTACCTCAGGAATGTCAAAACTCACAGGATGATTTGAAAGTGACGAATAAGATGGTAGAAGTCGGGAACAAGACTTGACGAGATGATCTTGAGGAGAAGAGGATTGATTGAAGTGCACTTAATATTCACTGAAAGTGCGTTCTATTCAAGCTGCTGGAGAAAACAGAAGCCAAAAAATGTGGATATGCTATCTAACAACGATGGCTAAGAAGTGAAGCAACTGTAGACAAGTGATCACTGCCACCGGGGCCCACAAAGATTCGATCTGTTAAATAAATGATGTAATCATCTTATAACCTGTGAATAAGCTAATACTGAAACAAACCTTTGTTGGAGGATCCAACCAAACTCCGCTATTTTCCCTTCGAATCTCTCTCCTGCACTTCAGAGCCGCATGAAATCTGTAACAGTCCTCGTTTCATTCTCAAGCTGCCACTGATAGAACTGACCCACGAGATTTCCGAGGTTGAAACATGATCATGTAGATTTGGATAAGCTGCATGGAACGGAATGAGCTGTGAAACGAGTGCCAACCATTACCTTTCGCTCAGGGAATGCTCAATATTCTACCCCACAGAGCAACTGCACACTAATGCTGTTTGCGAGAATCAAGCGTAATCAGAAGCACAGATCCCACAGCTTCATGGTTTTCAGGTGCATACACCGCACATCCTCCTGAATCTTGAGCTTGTTGTTCCCATGATCATGCTCAACAGGTCGATAATTTTTGTGGTCGGCATTGTAGTCAGCTCAGGGCTGCACTTTGCACAAACTAAGGCTCATGATGTTGGACGCTTTTTACTCTACGGCCACCCAAAGCATTAGGAACATTAGGAGTGGAAGCCCTTGAACCTCCATAAGAAAGAAGGACAGCATTCGCCCTATATCTTCTTCGAGTCTTGTTTGAAATGATTCACACGTGTATGTGTTTGATGACCATATAAATTCTCTTCTTTTCATTTGATTCATCGGCTTGAATGTAAATGGCCATTTCCTTGAACTCTAGCAATAGTAATTTTTGTAGATATATAAAGCTCACAACTGCCAATGAAAGTACAGAATGGAGATGTTTGACCTCCAACCAAGACTTATGTTTCTCTAAAAGTATGTCCACCAGTTTAGTGTATTTATACAAGTTTGCTTTGTGCTTTTTACTTTTCACGTTTTATGGTGGATCTTACAAGAGTCAAGATCAAGAGAAGAAAGTGAAATTTTATGGTTAGACTTCTCTTTATTCAAATATAAAAAATTTGTTTTGCATAGTTTGCTACGTGGAGTTTTTCGGAATCTCATCATCTTGCAAATTCAGAAGGAAATAGAAACTGCAACGTAGTACTGAAGCACATAAACAATGAGCAGTGTTAATACTTGGTGCAAGCAAAGTAAGTCTCATTATATGATTGGAATTTATATTTGTATGTCTTATTCCTTAAATAATAGTATATATGCTGATTGACAACTTCAATTCCACCATGATCACAATTATTATAAGCATGTTGAGCAAAAATTTTCGGAGTATCCACTCCTTCCAGATCGAAAGTTGATGATAACATGTATGATATAATTTTTGTTCCTGTAAATACTTCGTAAATAATTCATACTTCACATTCTAATCATTCGAACTCAACTTTTTCTTCTATTATACAGACTTTATTATTGAAGAATATACATTCAAGGCAGATTTTTGTATGATGATTATGGATTTTTTCATACATTATATTTCATCTATTTTTCTTACTTTTAATGAGATACGTTATTTAGGTTTCAGTCTAAAACGATTCTTACAATCTTGTTATTGTAAGCTAGGTAATCCACTGTCAAGTATTAAGCGGTTTAGTCTTGACTAAATATGAAATAGTTTTAAATTACATATTTTGATAGTTCAAATTTTTTTAAATAGTAAAATAGACGTTGATTTTGAATCTTATATTCTGAAATTCCTTGTACATCAATAACGAGGAGATGATGTGAAGAAATTTGATATAATAAAAAAAAATTATGATTCTTATAAATAAAACTACCACATTTATTATTTTTTCAACTTATATCATCTTAATAAACTCCATACAAAATTTCAACTTATAATCGAACAATGAAAATGGCTAGCAAGAAAAAGTTTGTTACACAATTAAAATATCTATTATTGCATTGAAGTAAAATTATGACCTTTTGTATAAGTATTCTTGTCTAAACTATGTCAAACCAAAATATTATAAATATGTTTAAATCATTCTTTACAACTAACAATATTTCATTAAAAAAATATAGAAAATTATTAACTTTTCAAATAGATTAAAAATGTGTGATATCTATGTTTTTATTTATTCATGACTTTTCTTTTCCAAACGCAATAAAATAAATTTTCAAAAAAATAAAATCAAATTAGAAATAAGTTTCAAAAATATCATTTTTAGTTCTTTTTGAACTGATGCAATATTTGGATCAAAACTATACCGTTTATAGTTTGTGAACTGACCCACTGACCATAGATTTTTTCTTAACAATTTGTTGCCGGGTTTTTTTTATCCTGATGTATATTTGTTTTTGATACAATAATACATGTGTGCAGTGTCTTACAAAGTCTGCAAATTTATAGATTTCGAAACAAAGATTGAATATATAACTATAGTTGCCAATTTTTTACTTTAAAAATATAAACTATACTAAATTAAATTTAAATCTTTGATATATAAACATACTTTTCAAATCCGCTTCGAACCAGTGCTTTTCTACATACCGAGTAAGAATTCAGCTTTACACTATTTCATCCATTCATGTCTTATTTTGTACAAAAATGAGTGACATTAGTTGACTAGTTGATCGATTTTATAATTAATTAAATGAGATGGCGTATTCTATTTATATTTTTGGAGAAGATTTTGGTCTGGAAGTTACAAGGTAGGATTGAGGTTGAAATTTATCACAAAATGGTTGAAAATGCAATAAAATTTAACAAAGTTTCAAACTAAAATGAATTTCCAACTAAAATTCAAAACTTTGTGACCTTAGCTGATGATACCTTACCAGCGTCAAATAGGATATCAGATTATAAATCATGCAACATTGAGTACTGGAACGTGGAGATTGGTTGTCATAATGGACACATTGCAGATCGAGGGATTACATCAGGTAGAGAATTTAGCTGGTTGCATATTGTGATCAGACTTTGAGTGAAGCAACGCTGACCCATGAAATCTGTAACGCGAATCAGATGTTCTAAAGAAGAATTTGTCAAGATGTATGTGCTTTAGAACAGATCCTGTTCAAGTATAGTCGTAACAGAACAGCTTTTTTATGTCAGAACAGTCGTGTCAGAAGAGCTTATTCATCCGTCTTTCTATCGACGTCCTTGGGAAGTCCCCAGGGTTCCGATCTCTTCGTTGTACGTTGTTTGCAGGTGGGAGATTTTTGTCAGCTATAACACGGATTGCAGAAAACAAAACAGGAGATCCAAACGACTTTTCCTGAACCCATGCATGCTCTGAGCTGACTCTAATCATCAAAAACTTCAACCAGTCCTACCGACGAAATCTAGGAGGCTTCACACAAAATCAATTTGCTTCACTTCTTAGGAATGAAGCAAATTGAAAGGTGTACTTCTGACGGCAGATCTTTCCATGTTGTGAAAAGTCCAGAAAGAACGTACCCTCGATATCTAGGCCAAAGGAAAGATAGTTGATCAGTGAGTGATCTGTAAATTACTCAATGATACAGGCTTTCATCCTGTGCAATCAAGACATTCAGATTATCCTTGCGTGACAATTTTGACAAGAGCGGTCCCGTTCCCATTCGATTGCTTTCTCTGAGAATAACAGCACTCGCAAACAGTAGTTGTCAGGTGACTGCAACTTTCACCCACCCCAGTCAACTCAACTGCACAATCTCTCTCGCACATGGCTCGATACACAGCCATGTGCACAGTATTTCCGACCCACGATGATCGATGTATGCAGCCTGTTGAGAACACCACGGAAGTTGCGCCCAGTGTATACTCCGTGCCCGAGTGAATTAGACTTTCATCTCGATCAATCTTCAAAATGTGATTCCCAGCGTGTTGTTGCAACTCTGGATCTTAAAGTCGCACTTTCTTCAAGTCGGAGTGAGCAATCCTGTGGCATCTCTTCTCGCCAGTCTCCTCGATAGTTCAAGTCGCTTGCGGAATGCAGGAAAGGAATTTCTAATTCTAACTAATAATATTCCTTGCCGCCACAAGATTATTGAAAAACCTACGAAATTGAGGTAAGAAGTACGAGGAAAGTGTGGGAACTTCAACACGGGATGCAGATGTTAACGCTTCTACACAGTTTAGATCCATGTGATAGAAAAACATGGAATGCTGGTCGATTTTGAAAGATTAAAGTCTGATCAAATTGATCCTGATGGCGCGGGTCGGAAGGTAATTTACATGTTTGACCGTTTATTTAGCAAATTTTAAATAAATTTATTCAATATCTTGAATCAACACGTTGGAAAGTCGAGAAAATGGTACGTTGTAAATGAGCTGCACAAAATGAGGGTTGTGAAATCTTTGCCATTCTCATTCTGTGAATGCAGGAGGAATGAGCAGTTAATGTGGGCGGCAGAGGAGCTCAGAATAGAAGAGCTGCTGTAGTATGCTCAAGTCTTGTCCCTTCTGAATAAGCTATGGGATTGGGATTGAGTCACGGGCAGCTGGACGAGTTTGAACCTGATGCAATTGTGCGGGTGAATCGAAATCTTCTGTACGACCAGCGGAATGCTCCAAATGCAAGCATCAGGAATGTGACCTCGAGTTATGGGCCTGCAAGAATAATACAATATCGCACGGACACAGACAGAGGTCAAGAACCGGGAAGACAGAGATCGACCAATATTGCATCGCATACTTCTGATCATCAGAGCAGCAGCAACGACTGTCAGCTATGTTGCGAAAACCTCTTGGTTGGAGACTGTCATGATTCCAAGGCTCCTTCGATCGATACGCCTTCACAGACGCAGGGAAAGCGGGTGCACCGGATTTTAGACATGGTCAGTCTCGCTCCCGTCGAGACTCATGCGCAGCTTGAGCGAATCATGAGCCAGTTTCCAGGTTGGGCTCGGAAAGATTGCGATTTAGAAACTGGATGGGTAGAGTACAGATTCACTTCCAGCTCCGGAAATTGCCTCGAACGAGTTTGGCTACCTTCGCCTGATCTGCAAGAAGCGTCTTCTGAAGTCCTCGACACTTTCGCTCGAACGGTCAACAAACTCGAGCGCCGACTCGTTTTCGAAGTGTGGTAAGTTTGTTCTACGCCGTAGTGACCCAGAACTGCGTCAAGGCCTAGACTCCCCGTAATAGAGTGAACACAGTGCCTACAGAATCCGTACGCAGTAAGTCGACTCCCGAGCCTGACTCAGTTAAGTCTCTAACTACAGAGAGGTCCTTACAGTAAACTGTGAGCATGTTCCTGAGCCATCATACAAACGCAACCTAAATGATTGAATTAACGTAAAGCTTGAAGATGGATATACAGGATTCATCTTCAAGATTTAAGCTTGAAGATGAATTTTGTATATCCTAATTCAAAGCTTTATTTCTATTTCTACTATTTTGATTTCAGTAGGTTACTATGACCTCCTTTGTCTCGCATTCTTGCGGATGTAAGTGTTTGTTGATTAGTTCTGCCTCATAAGCTCTATGCCTCGATGTGGTTGACAGGACCTGGACAATTTACCAGAATCCTTTATATAGCTCGGGTCGATTGTCGTTAGTTCCATCACCGAGAAAGTCGAAGAGTTTCCCGATGATTCCGGGCATGTGTAAGCAGGAAATGTTTGCAATGGAAATGCGTGCACACCTTCATCATACAAGCATGCACTCCAGCTTGCCGAGGAAGATGTAATTGAGATGGACTTACCTGAGCATGCTCATACAAAAGATGGATGGAAATGAAAAGCAACAAACCTTGAGGCAGATTTCATATCACGAGGACACCCTGGCCTTGAGGCAGATCTCATACGAGTCTTCGTCTACTTTTTCCAAGTTCAGGTGGAATTTGGCATCCAGATTTCAGATCCAGATCGGCTGAAAGGCAGATGATGCTTATTCACTGACCTCGTGTACTTTCTAGAACATGTGTTCTTCATCTATCTAAATTTGAAGAGGTCCCATATGACCTCTTCGTTGTCCATATTCTTTCAATTATTAATGGATGTGTAATGGGTTGGTTTTAAGAAATGTGATGCTATATGTCCAGTCAACACTCTCTTCCAAGTGCTATATAATGATTACTCTCCATTAGTAAAACAATTGTCATGTTCCAAAACAAATATCGAGTTCTGCCAAATTGCAGAATTTTCTGTCTCTGATAGACTAACATTGTGCTTAAATGTAAGATAGATGAATATAATTTCAACTTGGGGCGTGCGGACCCGCCCCAACTTTCTTCACTACCCCACGGCTTATATGTCATGTCTAAAATAGAATTTTGTAAGATAACTGAAACAATTTATCTTTAGAAAAAACGATTGTGTTATTTTCCAGGTTGCGATTTTTTTCTCCATGCTTCGTTTTCCTTACATTATATCATGTAAATGTTTTCCCTCTTATTGATCAGATTGATTGGAAGAATGAATTGATAGAGGATACTCAACTACTTTAGCTCAGGCACATATTCATTTACTCATGATTAAAAAATGTATGTTCATTCATATTATCTCCAAAACTTAGTCACATGTTTCAAGAACTTGTAGACCTAAACCGTGGGGTTTCTTGTAAAAAATCTAGGTCTCACACCATTTTTCGAGCAAAGTTGGGAACAATCACTAGTGGAACTTTTCTTGTATCTCCATCATTAACTGCGATTGTTGATTCTCCATCACCGTCATATGTCTAAAACTCTCTTCCATAGTCTCCCTTTTTCGTATTCAAACTTTCCTTTATCCAGCTCATACTTTTTCTCATTTTGGCCCAGCTTTTTCTCATTTTGGGCAAGCTCTTCATCTTATTGGTCCAGAGCTCGGTCTTGTCGAGCGTGAAAACGCTCATTGTCATATGTTTTATAACGAAAAACCTCGCCCCGCCTACAATGACATTCAATAGACGGCAGGGTTCCCCAAAAATTTTACTAGGCCAAATCAGTTGCCCATTGTACCGCAGAATTACCGGCTCTAGAGGCAGATCCACCACGGGGTGCTTCTCTTGCAGCTGAAGCATAATAAGACCTTTTTTGTGGAAAAAACGGGAAGGTCACTGAGGATTTGTTTGATAGTTTATTTACAAAAGGCCCTATCAACTCTTCAATATTCTCCCTGTAGCCAGCCAACTGTTTCTGAATAGCATGCCGGAGCTTCCTCAATATCAAATCCCACGTTCCTATTTTTTGTGAATTTTCGGTAGTTTGAAACACAAAAAAATCGCTTCTTAATCGATAGTAGATTATTATAAACACAATGACTATTTTTGCTTTTGTCAATGCTTGCTTGATCCACTTCATTTTCGAGAAGAAAGATGTGAGTGAAGTAGCAAATGTGCTTTCCGTAGTTTCGAGGAATTCTTGATACAAGCAAATTTTATATATTTCTTGCATTTGGAAATAGTTTAGAAATTTGCTAATCACAATAAAGAAGGGGGCTACTACCTACCTGTTCCAGTCTATCTTTGATGAATTTGGGTTTAAATTTTAACTTGCAGATGTGCACTCAGAATGCCATTTTCATTTCCTCTGTTGACAAGCAACGCAAAGATCAGGTTTCAAGATTTTCAAAACCACAAGTGAAGAATATCTCGACATTGACATTCTGAACAGAATATGATCGAAGTAGCTTCCTTGAACAAATCTGGAATATCCAGATTTGTTATTTGAAACAACCTCCAAACTCATTGCACCGACTATTGGTCATAAACATCGAGTTTTGAACCACAAACCAAAATGTAGTAAACACAACGAATATCTCGACATAGGAAACAAACATAAGCATTTAATTTTTCTTTGCACTTTGTCTTACACATCTAAATTTCTTTTAAATTATAACGTTAAATTTATTTACGCGAGAATTCTTATGAGAGAGATTGTACAAGTTGGTATCAGGAGATAATCTTATTTCTAGCACTACAACAACATAAATTGCAGTTAAAAGGTTAAAATTAATTTCAGAAATAATGTGTTGTTGTTATTCCATGAAACCACCCAGACAATTTTAGAAACAAACTTTATCATTCTTTAGTTCTTGCATTATAAGGGGTTATTTGGAAAACCATATATGCCCATTCGTTGGAAGGAGTGAACACGCTGATTTTTAAGAAAATATTGCTATATTATTATTGCCTCTCATCCGATTTGAAATCACTGATTACCCTAAATCAACACTTACGGGAGATCCATGCAGATCATATTTCGTTTCGTAAGTCATGTACCATTCCAGCTACACTTTAAATGATTATGTTAGCTGATGTGGCTTGAATAGAATCGACTGAATTTTCGATAGGAAAATCAAACCTAAATGTGATGCAAGAATTAAATCCCGATTTCTTAGAAATTTCCTTTTCACTTCTACAAAATGATTATAAGTTTGAATCTTATCGTTTAACGGAAGTTTTCTATTAGCTGCTTAATGAAGATGTTCATCTTCTTTGCTATTAACTATTCCACCATACGATTTATATTGTTTTTGCCATCCAAGCCTTTTCATTTCCCATCTTATAGCACCAAATTATCTTCTAGAACGCCAGGTGTATTCTTAGTTTCCGTGTCCTGTTGCAATTCTTCAGTCTCATTGCAAACTTTTCGTCACTGATTTGTTTGAACAACAGAACGGCATACGATAAACTGTGGTGTACTGGAAACCGAAAAACAAGACTTATAATATCATAGTCAATATTTGAATATATGATTTTATTACTGTGAAATTTATAGCTGTCATATGTTTTATAATTATTTGTACAAGATTTTGCAGGAATCAAATTTTCTTCTATACACATGATAATATTTTGGGCATCGATATTCCCTATGTCCCCACTTATTAGTATGGTACAACTCACTCGACACAGGAAAAAAATTTGGGATAGTGTTAAGGATAATAAAAACTGATTATCCAAATCAGCTTTTACCATCGTCTTCATTACATAAATACCCATTCCCCTGTACTGATTGGGCTACAATGAGATTACTTAAGACACATCAATTCGATAAAGTATCTGTAATATAAGTGGAAGATGGAGTTGTCCACCTTGCTTCAGTATCTACTAAAGCACGGTGGACAACTCCATCTTCCACTTATATCTTCAGTACCTACTGAAGACCCAAAACGTTTCGAGAAATAAGTGTTCGCAGGCCAGCCACAGCCACGACTCTGCCATTTAGCATGTCATTTCAAGTGAAGTTACAGTTGATAATCATATTCACTCTCCTCTGATTGCATGTTTCTTTCTACCTCAAACGTGATGTGAGTTCATTAGGCATAACCTTAAAACTCAAGTTCTCTCGAGGCTTTCCAATGTTGGCATCTGGGTAGACCTGCAGCAAAAAAAGAGAGCAGGTCTTCGATCCCAATGTGGTATACCCAAAGATATAGTGACTATTATCCCCTCCTCATAGATGTTGGATATGTGACTGTCCAGCTCTTCTACCTGGTCTAAGTATTGTAAACATTCTATCCAGAAAATGAATCGATGGAACTCTCCGAAAAGCAACACATTTGATGGAACCTAACAGGTTTCATTTTTAGCCTATGGTATCTCCCGACGGTCATGCAATCCACCGTCATCCATGTTCCAATAAAATATCTTATAACTCGACAATTTGCTTTTCACGGACATGTACGGTACACAGTCATCCATATTCCAATAAAAGTTTTTATATTCCGATAATTTAAGCTATAGTGTTGGGAAGGGACTGCCACTATCCGGGTAACGTGATATGACGGGAGACAATACTTTGGCAACTCATTCGCAGCCATGGCGTAAGCTTTATGTCACGACTGAGAAAGCGACGGTTACTTACTCTCACAACTATCGATTTCACTTCGTAGTCTACCGCGAATCCTAAAGCTTTTCTGTGAATCTGGTATAACATTTTGCTTTGCTGTGATAGCAGAAATATCCATAGCGGTAAAAATGACAGAAGCCACAAGAGAGGATGATGATATAGGGTTTAGGGTTAGGGAGTAGTAGGGAGGAGATTGCTTGGTACTACGAATGGATGGACTAAGATTTTTCTCTAGAACAATTATAATTGTGACTCTCTACAGAAAAAAAAATTTAGACGTTACATAACGGAAGAAAAGAAATATTTGATTTTCCCGCTGCACATAACTTAGAAGGAAGGTGTCCACATTACTTTGGCCATGAGGCTGAAGTAATCCCGAGAGGTTCCTGCCATGAATGCATCCAAAGAAACCTCACAAGCTTCTACCCGAAATCACCAAATAATCCATCTTGAATCATGAAGCATACCTAAACCCAAATAGTATTAGAACATGGGTTACAATGGACTGCAGGACGTCGAGAGGTACCATAAGGTAAAATAAAAATTGTTGGGTACCAAGAAATTTTCTCATGTTTAATTACAATAACCAGTTGTTAGAAATTCACCTTGTTTGAACATGATGCGCTCCTCTTTCCTGGAATTTCGCGTCCAGCTTGCAAGGAATCATTTTGACAAGGAAAGCAAGCAATTCTGTAAATTGATATTTTCAGCAAGGAACTTGCTTGCCAAGTATGAGGAGTTTCAATTAAGACTGGGTAGTTTTAAGGTGATGAAACTAGTCAGTAGAGCTAACGTACATCACAAGCTTCGGTGATCGCAACATGTTACCATTGAACTGTTGAAAGTAGGAGATCTGCAATTGTAAGAAATACATAGTATGCGTGTGTGGAAGAACAGTAAGTTTCCTCTCTGCTTGAATAATGATTATGAGGCTGACCTTGCCTGTAAATTCTTGTATCTTATATCACAAATTGGAAAACATCACGGGATCTCTCTTTGCTCGAATTCTCCTCAGCAATCTGGCCATCACGTTACCAGAGAAGTGACCACATGTGGCGAATACTCTCTACATCTGAATCAGTATTTCACCACTGATTTCAAGACATCAACTGCTAGAAGATGTTTTACAAAGTTTCCATAGATTTTCAGGACGTCGTCGACAGAAGAGGCAACTGTTAAAGTAATTTACGAAAAGTAAATAACATTCTTTAGTAACAATATCTTTGTACAAGTGGGTATGAAGCAGCTTCGATCAGATTTCATCATGGAGATCGGAGAACGAAGGAGAGCTAGTAATAAGTTTTAATGTATACCATAAAGAATCCGTCATCAAATTCGGATTTCCTTGCTAGCTAAAAAGCTGAAGAAATTCAGGATCCGCGTGAAGAGCATCCATGACATGCTTCATGAGGAAGATTTCGAGCGTGGCAGCGAAGGTGTTCTCTTTTGTAGGGACAGGAGGGAGTATGATACAGTATCCCAGAGGGGTTCCTTCGTGTCTGAAGTTCCCAGTGGCAAAGTATGGAGTACCACATCCGAAGTCCAGATCGTACAAAGGAAATCTAATCCAGGAAGAGAAGAAAAAATGCGGAGTCGATGATTTTTGAGCTCCCTTGGTGATGCTGACCATTTCGTCTACAGCATCCCAACATGTCGTCGAGTTAATGTTTCGTACCGTCCTCTGAACGAGGCTTCCTGCAAATGCATGGCTCTCTCCGGAAATTTTCTTAACTGGCAATTCAGGAAGTGGGACCAGCAAAACAAAATTCCCGAAGTACTGCTCGGGCAACGATGGGGACGAGATCCTACGCCGGCAGTCGACAGCGGTCCAGACCTTGATGGACTCTTCATTCTCCAGCAAGGGAGCCGGCAGCTTGGACAGGCACCGCCAGAAATGTGCGATGATGCAGTCCACTCGACTGAGGGTCTTAGTAGTCTGCTTACTGCCCATAGCCACCTTTCTGAGCTCTTCAATCTTGTCCATCCTCACGTTCAGAAACTTCACACAGAATGGCGATGGCTTCTTCACCCTGAAGGTGTCCGAGTCCGACTTCTCCGTCGGCAGCGTCTGGCCATCTTCGTCCACCATCGTATCCAGAGTCTGCACTGGTTCCGTTTGCAGTGTCGACTTCGGAGACTGCTGCCGCTGGAGATCCATCAGCGACAGAGCATTGGACCGGTCGTGCACCGGGCTATATGATGTACGACCTGTGAGAACCATCTCCGACCAGGCTTGCAAAAACTGCATCATCGACTCACCGTCGGCCGTCACGTGATTGAAGTTGACACCCAGTACGATTCCACCGCACCGGAATCTGGTCACCTGCGAGTGACGTAGCAAACCACGAGCACATTTTATGCAATGTAATTCACGTACTGCATACATGTCTGCAAGCTGTGCCAACAAAATTCAAACCGAGAGGCAGGCTTTGCTCTTCCAGCATCATGGAGATGAATGCATTAAGACATAGAACCATCGAGCATACTTCGATCCTAACGTCATCATCATTGGATTCTAGCAATTCATTGAATGGATTGTATCTGAGTACAATACAGCTGCACCGTGGTGGATCATGAGTCACAAACCTTTATGATCAAAGAAGGGAGTGACAATCGAATGTCTTGATTGTACGACGTTGGATCGAGGCCGACGTCCTCAAAGCCCGAGAGCTGACAAGTGGGTACGAAAGTCTCGGTTCCGAGCGTTGCATCCAAGTCATAGCGTGCTTCTGCTTCGATGAATGGAACTCCTGCATCGTTGCAGAGAAGCCTTCTTACAGTGTAGGCGTTGTTGTACTCCACCCAGCGTCCTGCCATAGGGTAGTATGGCACCAGCAATTTTGACAGTGAATCCTGCAGCTGATTGATGAGTCGCTTGTAAGCAGCATCGGTGTTGTCCAACCTGTAAAATAGTAGTATTGGGACGTAGTTGTCTAGATTCAAGCAGATGTGATCAAACAGAGCTGCATCCAAAAAATCTGGATGCTGGGATTCTTCCACTGGTTTGATTATAGTAGACGCGACGTGGAAAACGTTTTCTGAGAAGTCTGCCGACCCCATATTCCTGACACTGAGGGAGTATTAAAATCAGCAGATCTTCGAATCTCGGAATAGGATTGAGTTGCAGAAGCGTTCGGATCGATGGAAATGTGTAAACTGTCAGTGGGATGGTAGATTTTCAGATAGAATGAAAATCTAATCGACTTTCTGCAAATTTGCTTCCAAAAGCTTGACTAGAAAACTATGAATGCAGCAATTAAGTCTAAGATTGGGACCAGGATCTAGAATTAAGCTGAACGGGAAATTCTGCTGCTCAACTGTACTGCATTGAAGTGTTTTCTTTGCCCCACTTGTCAAGTGAGCGCAAAGAAATTAATAAACTGGGCTGAGAAATCTCGTTTATGTATGCCTTGGCTCAACCCCACTTGACCCTTGACCAAGGGCGTTGATATATAAAAGAGATCTGAGCTGTCTATAAAGGAATTATTGCCCGAATACGGGAACAACACAAAGCGACTTCTTGGGAGAACTGGTAGTGACAATGCTTCTTCTGAAAGGTATTTATAGACATCCCCGGCTAGCAACTTGACTGCTCAAGGAAGGAAAAGTGCATGAATTACGTCGAAGTTTTTCACGTCAAGTAGGTGTCGACCAGGTTAGCCTTATCTGGTGATAAAATCTTCCGAATCCATGAGCCCTGACGATGCCATTCGATTGCATGTTCTGAGATTTGGCTGAACAAAGTTTCTGCTCCTCAAGCGGCTGATAATGGGCAGGTTTCTACGACCCAAAAGTTTCGGGAAAGAATATCTCGTCACCTTTGAAGCTCACTGGTAAGCAAGCTTCCAAACAGTACTTAAGAGCCAAATCAGATTCTTCTAATTAGCATCTGTAAGACGATCATCCTCTCATACTGCGAGAGCTCAGGTATCAGGCATACGTTACGCCGGAGTTGGATGTGACTAAAAGTGCAGGTCCCTGTTTACATTACCTGGCAAAGAGGTTACTAGTGAGGAGGACTTCCCCCAAAACTGGATAAATTTAAGAAGAAAGATCAGTATGTAGCAAGATTTCGTGCTAATCCCAAGTTGAATAGCTAGAAGGACTATTGTATATCACTCGCTGGCAGTCTGGCCTTATCAGTCGCATACACAAGCTGTCATTCCCAACGATGTTTTATGCAAAGACCACATGCATCATACCAAGGCGTCGACTAACTGTTTTACAGTTCTGGAATTCAAAAGAAGACGCTTTCGTGACATCCTTATCTATTTCCTTCAAGGGATGTATTATATCAACAGATTGGATGTCAATTTCAGGGAAGAAATCCGTGTTCCAACTCAGATTGCTGTCCCAGTCAGGGCATTAAAGCACCGATCTTTTTATGTAGTCTTCACAATACATGGATACTTCAAAACTTCAGCTGGAGTCATAGAATATAGAGCATGCAGTAGAAACTTCCAAATTCTCTTTTCTCGGAGTTTCGGTGCGAAATCAATCTCCAAAAGTAAAATTCTCTACAGAGATGGAATATGTGGTTGACTATAGTGGAGATGAATCTAAATATATTATGTTTGAGTAAATCATCAAAACAACATTAGAGCCCACTTGAAATTATTCCCACTTTGGAAGAATTTCCTTTCATTGGCAGCCACAATATCGATGAAGATTCGTAACGGTGATTTTTTTAGATGTCTGTATATTTGAAATCCAATCTAATCTGGCAGAATTCATGTGCCCGTGAATTAATGAAAATTCATTCTTCGTCAAGGAGAAGACGTCAGGAGCTCTTATTGTTCTGCATGCAGCCTCATTATTGAAGTAACCCCCGAAAAACAGAATTGTTTCAATACAAAAAACGTGACACGATCTGGAAGCATACATCATTTTCCTCCGTGCACCTGCAAACGCTTTACCTACAATCCCTTCCGATTGGGCGTTCAAAGTTAGTAATTTTTTTCCGAGGTGTGAAATAAAAGCCTCTGAGTCATTAGACTCGGAGGTAGAACGAAAGCTGCAACACCACTGAAACCCGGAGAGAATGGGCACGTGATGTGCACAATCCTTGCCTCTGGTCTTCAGCGTCACTCAGATGTATATGTGTCTGTCGTAGCCTTCAGACCTGAAGAGATCGAGTAGTCAAAGAGAAGAGGACATGGGCGTAGACTAGAACAGACAAAGTAACTTCGAAGATAAGATCATCCTTCTTGTTTGAGTCTGTCCCCGGCACATGAGCATATTTGGAAGCTCGCAATAATCATCAACCCAACCGAGCTGATACTTTTGACTACTATATAAACCTCCTGCAAATCTAACGTAAAATCGCTGCTGCTTTGAGATTCGCTATTCATCTCCGTGAACAGCTTGGACTCCACCAGCAGAGTAAGGTTAGAAAAGTGACATCATGTGTTTCAGCTCTAAGTTATGTTTGAAGGGAAGCAAAGGTCCTTAGAATGGTCAAAGGGCACGATGAGGATTGGAGAAATGGACGCAAGATCTGCCTACAACATTTTGCGGGAACCTGCCTACAACCTGACCCTTGTCAGGTCAGCCCATGATTAAAAACAAGACCCAAAGAAAACGTTGAAGACTCTTTGTGGACGCTTTACAGGATTAATTTGACGGAGACACGAACAGTTTCACTGTGATGAAAGAGCCATGGTCTAACCGATTTTTCGATTCCACGTCTTAACTTACTTATACAAGCCTTAGCCGTTGCAAAAGATATATAACAACTGCAGTCGGCACGACAATCAGATAGTACTGTGGAAGAAGCTCTAGAAACTGACGATAGATGCTCAAAGGCACGACATGAGAACAGCCACGACCAAAAGTTCTTTCATATGTTTCTCTTGATCCTCTCCTCAGTTGCTTCTGGTTTGGTTAAGCCTCCTGGATATGGCGAGGAAAGGCAGGTGCCGAGGAAGGTGAGAAGACCAGTCCTGCAAGAGAAGTTACATTCCCACTCGACTGTGTTACTACTCCATGCACAGAAAGAGAAAAGATCTTTAAGATTCTTCTTATTGCAAAAACCAATCTACGTGTCAACAGAGCGGGAACACACTCCTTCTCATGAGCATTTCTTCGAGCTATATATTGTCCGAATCCAATGTTGGACTTATTCACAATAAATTAACTACTCTAAGTTGAATTTGGGCTATTTATGGACCACTTGATGAACTCATGTCTGCTTGTGCCGCAATCTGAGCTGTAGTGATCTGAGCGAGACTTGTGCCGAAAAGAAAGTTTTTCTCCATGTGGACCCTGTGTTCCCGGGACACAGTCACTCTCAATGTAGGCGTGATGGAAGCCCGATTCTTAGATGTCCAAACTTAAGTGCATGCTGAAAGCTGCTTGAATATCAATTCGTCAACGAGTCCTATTGGATGAATGATGATCGCCTAAGGTTAAGGCTGAAACAGACACATGGCCTTCTGATATGTACTTAAAACTTATGGAAAGAAAGATGTTGAGCTTTTTGCATAACATGGTTCCGGGTATTTTTCTTTTTCGCTCTGCGCTTTCATATAAAGAGGGGAAAAAACTAAAAACACGTGCGATATAGGTTTGGATTCTTAAAATCAACAAGTGATACTGAAGATAGTTGCAACTACAAGTTATAAGGAGGTTTGTAATCCTGACTCACAAGTGAATACTGTACTCTAGTCTTCAATACTCCACATTGAAGACGTTATATACGTTCTCCTTCAGCTGAAGTTTGTTCTCGTTATGATCGTGTTGAATCTCAAAATTAACGTCAAGTCTATTTGACGTTAATTTTTTGACTTTCAATGAATCAAGACTTTTTGACCTGATGTACACGACAGTAGAACTTTTGTAAATTACAAGCTTCGATCAACATAAAGTCTTTTCGTATATATACGATACCTTAATTTGTAAAAAATAGTGTGAATTAGTGTGAAAAGTTAGTACTAGGTATGTAAACTTTGGTAGTATGAAACTTTTTGTAAGTGTTTACAGTGACCATACGAGACAAGAGAGAGGAGTCAGAACCTTGAGCGATGTCAATGCTGTGAGATATTGCTGTCTGGACAGGAATGACCTAGTTTTGGAACTTTTCGTCATCTGAGTTCACTTCTTTGTGATACTATTGAGTACGTGGGGAATAGCGGAGATATATTTTCAGACCTTCAACATATTTCGGGAATGACATTTGCTGCAAGAGAAAGAAGGTAAATAAGACAGAAGGCTGGTGTGACCTGGTGAGTCGAACAAGTTATCGGAGCAAACAAGTAGTTTGAAGTTAAGGCTTTCAGTAAGAAGTGGGTGGAAATTGGAGAACTGATACCTACATTTAAGATTATTATATGTTCACATTCTTTCCTTAATTGAACTTCTAGATCAACCCTCTGAAAGTGTTGATATGAGGGAATATACATCCAAAAGGGATCATTTGTCTTCCGAACTATCCGGGATAGTTTGTCAAGTACGAGATGACTTCCTCCACGAAAAAGTCATTCTTGAAGCAAGAAATTACAATCATTTTTAAGGAAGAAGAGACTATGAGCATCAAGCACTTCAAGACCTGGTGAGTCAATTTGCTGCTTTGGGATCAAAGTTCGATGAAGATCATGTTACATTGACTACTAGCAGTCTTGCTCCTTCCTACATATTTCTAGCAGCATAAACTTCTCTGAAGAAAACTCTGCTAAGTATTATTTCGATAGTTCTTGAAGCTTTTCCAGGCAAACAGTGGATTCAGCTGATATGGCTGCAGAAGGTGCATTTGAGGGAGAAGGCTGGCAGTGGACGCATAAAGTGGTTAACAAAGAACGAGTCCAGTGACCGTCCAAAGGTCTCTGGACGAGCACAGCAGAAAATATCCAATGATTCATGTGGACTCAATTTGGCACCTTCACAACTTGGTCTGGATGGTCTAAATTTATCCAGATGTCTACCTTACTCATTCTTGACTCGTTCATTTCATTGATTTACATAACTGCAGACAACAAGTGGTGGTATCTATCATGTTGTGTTTGACGATTGGACATTGTGAGAAGATAAGTATTAGGAGTCTTTTTTCCTTTGATACTCTCATTGTACAAGGTCAATGCAGTAACAAAGTTTACTTCTTAAGAAAATCTGTCCTTCTCAATTTCTGACACACTTGTCTGAAGCTGGTTTCAAGTACATTCTAACCAGATCAAAACCTTGGCTTAAATTTGATGGGTGGTCCATGTAAAGGATGAATACCACCAGCAAGTATACGCTAGTTGCTTGCTTTCTACAAGGGTGAAATTCCATTTACTATTATGCTCAAGTTGAAGATTTGAAATGAGCACGTATTTAATATATTCTCAAATGCAACTTCCGGTCTACTTCCTTGCTGCAAAAGCAGTATCTTTCACATCTTCTTAATTAACAGTAGAACCAAGAGAGGCTTATTTAAAACGCACAAAACGTGTTTGTTGGAAGGAGATGTTATTTGTGGAAAAGCCAAAAGATTTCGAAGTTGCCATTATCACCTTTGAGCGGTTAAAATGGTAAAACAAAAGTGAACTT